ACAACCGGGAAAAACAAAAACACTTACACTCCACGCTCCTGCATGAATGAAGCAGTGCACGAATATAACCCTCGATCGTGCTCTCGCCAACTAACTGGTGCCCAACAAGATACGTGTTGTGCGAGGAGGAGATGAAGTACTCGGGCAGTGGCCGCGACATGTCGTGGTATATCCGCCCGTGCTGGTCTGCAAAGGCCGAGTTGTCCGCAGATAGGAGAAATGCCGTAAAGCCGCTGAGTGTCATCTTGGCATCGTCTACGCACGGAGTTGGTACACTAGACGCGGTTGTGGCGGTCCCAGGCGGTGAGCAAGCTCCAGAAGGCGTGGGCGATTGCGACGCCGCTTCTTGCGAGACAGAAAGCGACTGCATGGCCAAGTCCAGAGACGTCTGGGGAGGCGATCCCGGAGCTTGACCACTATTGGGGAACGTTGCGTACCGCGAGAAGATGTGCTCGAGCTCGATCCGACTGAGCGAAGACTGCTACCACGCTTAGCAGGTCATATCGATCTTGCGATAACATGCCTCGTACCTTCTGAGACCCCTGCATGAACTGTACAAACGCGGAGAAGGTCAATCCATCAGCACCATCTACGAGCTTCTTGAACAGCCTATCGAGCTCCGGGCGTGCCTTCAAGGACTTTACGAAACGCTTGAAATCCGCAAAGTCCAGATAGCCCCGGTCCTTACTGTCAGCTTGCTGCACCAGACGTCAATAAGATGCTTTCTACACAGGCGGAATGACGGACCTTGAACCGCCTCATCAGGTCCTCTCGTGAAGGGTTAATGTTCAGCCGCCGGCACAATCGCTCGACGTCGTCAAAATCCAGCCGTTGGTCGTGCTCGTCGTCCGCGCCCTTCCAGAACTGCTTCTCCCAGACCGCCTGCTTCATGTCCGCGCTCACAAGGCCGCTCATCAGCTGCTGGCGTATCGCGTACAGCCGGTGCAGGGTGACGTCCCACATCTGGAAGATCTCCTGCGTCGCGGCGATCAGGTGCAGCGTCTTGTAGCCCCCGTCGAGCACGTAGACAATCGTGAGCCATCGGTCTTCGTACTCCTGCGCAAGCTGGAACTGCTCGCGATAGTACCGCGCATCGACCCCTTTGCGCAGCTCCTTGATGTTCTCGATCGGGACTGCAGGAGGCGCCCGATGAGCAGGGGCATCACGTACGCTCGAGCGAAGACGGCACTCACTGACGCGCAGCTTCTTTGAATACCACAGGATCTGCCCCTGGTCGGGATCGATTCTGAAGAGGTACCGTTTCTGCTTCTTCGCAGAGACCTTGATCATCGGCACGCCGGACTGGAGCAGCGGCGGGACGGTTGCGTCCGACGGCGAGGACAGCTGTGCGATGGGCGACGCGGCCTCGGGTGCGGGATGCGCACGATGTTCGGGCGATTCGGGCAGAGAGGCCATCCTGACGAGCGGCGTGGGTGGGGGCGAAAAGAAAGGAGAGTCCGCGGTCGGGGAGAGGCTATGGTCCTGCTCAGCGTGGTGAACGCGTGGTCGCGTGGAGAGCACCTCGCTCTGGGCGCGGCGGTGGCTCTGCCTCCGCTTGACCCACACCACAGGCGAGAGCGTGAAGGTGGTGGTCACCGTCGCCGACGATGCGTCCGAGGACGACTCGGGGAGCGGCTCGGAGATGGAGGCGTGCAGCACGGGCGGGAACGACGGCGTCGCGGACGTGCGCCGCTTGAAGCTCGCCCTGCGCGCGACGGTGGATCCGACGTCTCGCACCTGGCTTAGCCTCCGTTTGATAGACCCCCCGATGCCCCCGCCGTCTGTCCTCCGCCTCTGCAGCGCGCCGTGGTCGATCGTGGGGTTGGAGGCGAGCATGGTGTCCGCTATCGCCGGCACGGGCTGGCCCTTTGTGGTGAGGAGACCTGCTGCGCGATGGAGCCCGCGGCGCCTCGGTGGTTCGGACATGTCTAGCGATAGAATGGGCGAGAGAGAGTCATGGAGGAGCACAGAAAAGCAGGCGAGGTGACGGCGTTTTAATATTTCGTTGATAGGCACTAGCGTAGTCGGACTAGTCAATCCGGGGCCGATTTGCCTGTTTCAAACGGAGGCTATTCAAGTTCTCATGGCGGACAACGTGCGCAAGCGGCGCAGGGAGCGTTCGGCGATGTCGAAATGCGGTGGAGACAAAGTGTGATGGGGGTCCGGAGCAAGGGGCAGTAGTAGACCAGCGGACTACAACGTGATGCATGCCACCACTATTCCACAACGCTGCAGAAGGACGGTGCGTGGCAGGCAGTAGTATATAGTTCGCGCCCACAAACGCGTGGTGGTTCTGAAGTAATGAGGGCAATATGTTACATGACCCGAACGGGGAAGACCGCAGTGGTTTGCGCACTGGCATGGCATCGAGATCACACGCCAAGCCTCGCACTCGTCGGGGTTCACACACACTTTGCAAACGAAAGTAGGGTCTGTACAGTACACATCGACCCCTAATTACGTCGCACTAATCGCACAAGACTGCGTTACACACTGAGCAATGCCCGCCGGGAGAATGAGGTGAGTCGCAGAAGCATCCTGGTACTATGAGCTCTGCACATTAGTAAATCAATAGCGCACAGGAGACACAGGTAGAGGCGTGGCGGAACGGCTAGCACTTGATGAAGTTGCCCACGATGAGAGTCGGGATACCGTACGGGTCGCGGCGGATGGTGAACGAGAAGCAGCAGCTGATGAACCCTTCCTCGTCCGGGGGCGGCTGCGAGTCTTTGCCGCGCGCAGGGGTGACCGCGCCAGACGCGGGCAGCGAAGGCTTGTACCGGAGCACGCAGGACGTGAGCACCGCCTTCTGGGTCGAGTCAAACGCGACATTGCCGTATTTCTGTGCGTCACGGCGTCATGAGGCATGTGCTGCCGACGCAACGAGATTGACTCACCTCCCAGTAGTTGACTGCGGAATCCTCCGCCATGAGCTCGTAGATGCACAGTCGTCCCTGTGCAGCGCACCGATTAGCACCTTACATTCGATCTTGTGATTAGACCAGGGCGTACGTCTCTCAACGTGTAGCCGTCAACACCAACAAGCTCTGCGAACTCCCTGTTGGCCTTGTAAATCTCCCCGGTACGGCGCCAGAGACACGCAGGGATGGCCATAGCAGAGAACACCCGATCGTAATCGAGAAGGAGACGCTCGAATGCCTCTTCTATGAAGACCAAATCCTGAGGAAAATATCAGCGAGGCGCACCACCACCACTTACAGCGCAAGGGCGTACTATGTCAGTCAGTGATTCAGATTGGGCAATAGCCTGGTGTACACGGTTAGAGGCATCCACTATCGTTGTTCAGACGCTCACTCTGAACTTCGGCCGGAGAACAGAAAGCGGTTGAAGGATTTTCTGCTTCGACTCCTGAGAAACACTTACCACGTTGTAACGGTCAGGCGATAGCCGTGATGAGTACGCGAAGCGAACACGTACTTTCTGTCCATCCAGCGAGATAACCGTGCATACCCCTTCACATAATTGTAAGGCTTGAGCAGACCAGCTTCGTACTTGCTCCGGATGACCATGTTCAATCGCTCGTTACGGGAGCCCGAGGCCTGATCAGCAGCGGTGAGGAAGAACCGCTCCGTTTTAGACGGTGCGGCCAGCACGATCGGCGCAGGTTCGTCCGTGAGTTTGTCTTGGTCTTGCATGGAAGTGAGTTGCGCTGCGGATGTCGGAGTGGCCATGTCGGAAGGCTGAGTAAGGTACGGATTGTCGACTCCCAAGGAGACGGCGTGAGCATAATTTGGGCTAGACATCATCGTCGGCGCGACAGCCGGAGGTTGGCTGAAAAATGAGCCATCGTCGAGAGACTCTAGAAAATCCCTACAAAAGCAAAATGATATCAACAACATACTCAGAAAACCGATGGGAGGTAGATGATGCAAGCAAGTGCATGCGGGCTTCGATAGTATGTGGAGTGGTTGTCGCTGGACTATTCAAGTCGATAGAAAGGATAGAGGGCATGGTATTGCATTGCGAGCATTAGGGCGGAAGCACGTGCATATGCCTGTCCTCCGGATCACTCCGTTTGACCTCAAGATCATCGTGCTGAGATGTCTGAGGTGCAGAACTGCACTGACGACATTTCGATGAGATCCCGAAAAAGTGGAAGGGTGACGCTCGGCAGTCACTTTACCGCTGGTGTAAAAATATAGGAGACGATGCTCAGAAAATCCAAGTGCAGAAGGTGCCGTAGCGAACATATGAGAAGGAGGAACTCACGAGAGAACAGAGAACTCGTTGCTGAGAGTCTCGGGAGGATACATGAAGCCTCCCTGAGCCATGCTCATACCCATGCCCGGCCATGATGTGTTCATTGGTGATGCAACCTGAACAGGGGCGTACTGTCCCGCTAGAGGAGGGCGAGGGGTGTAGCAAGTGGGTCAACCGGAGGGTCGCTTAAGAGTGCTCGTGGGGAGGAAGCAACTTGCCAGGGAGGGCCCTCGCGACGTCAAGAGGAGGGTTTGTAATTGAGGAAGAACTGGTCGCAGATGCCTTCTCCTTACCCGTACTTCGCCGTTCGTCGTGGCAGAGGTGTCCTATCTCGCGTTTGATGCTGGGGAGGGCGCGAAAGGGGCTCTCTGCGATGAGGGGTTGCGTGCTGTGGATGAAAGCGAGGAGATACACACCATCGTTGACATGGGCGGCCCTCATCGCAAGTCATATGGCTACGACGGCAGTAGAGGCATGCATGGTTCACTTTCCTCCGCTTTGACCCTTTCTTCTTCTTGCCCGAACCGTCGTCGCTGTCGTGGTCGCCAGCGACACTGGTAGAGACCTCGACGCTCTGCTGGCGAGAAAGGTCTGCCGAGGTGTGGTCATGAGGAGGTTCGGATTGAGCCGGGTCCGTCGTAAAGCTCTCCATGGTGCATCCGTCGGGCGCGGTCGGGGGAAGAAACCAAGTTCAGAATCGTATTCGAGTTGCGCCTCTCTGAAGTCCAGAACGTCTTTGAATGCTCATAGTATACATTACTGACTCCGTCGTTAGCATGTGCCCCATGGCTGAGTTGGTTACAGCGTCCGACTGTTACAATGCGACTTGAGGTCGGATCAAGTGATATCGGAAGGTCGTGAGTTCGAGCCTCACTGGGGCAGTGTTTTTGTGTGAATCCAACACTTGTCCAGGTAAGTATCCCGGACTAACGGTGTTCAGTAACAGGCTTAGGTAATTGTAATACCATACTGCAATTTGATTGACAGTAGTAGTCCTACTTAGTGTCTCTACAACGATCTATCAATTGTTCCCCGTCCTGGCAGTTCCGAGTCTCTGAGTCTCGAGAAACTCTCTGGCTCGACCTTGGAAGACGCATCTCGTCCGTAGACGCCATTGATAGTAAGTTTGACTGCCAAGGAAGACAAAGCTAGTTCGAGCTGGGCCCCTTCTGCCATAGACGGCGCACGATATCACCATGCCGTGTAGCTAAACTTTCAAATTTCTCGTTCATCAACATCTGACAGAACGCTTATTAGCAGTTCCGGAACACTCTCTTCCGAGTCTTCGCGCCTTCATCGCATGATATAACACCGGTGCCGGCGCGTGGTAGCGAGCTATTCTCAAGACGCCGTGAACACGGCCACCGCCGTTTCGTGGATAATCGTACCGAGCTCGAGTTGTGCAATCCGCGACCACTTCCTACGACGCGTTCATCCTCCCAGATAACGTGAAAGTTGGTTCTGGGCACTCACTGTTCATTCAAAGCACGTTCCACGATGCCTCGCTTCTTGGACACCCACACCGGACAGTTTGTATGGCTTTTGGACGTGGGCACAACTCCCTACGCAATCTTGTCACACACCTGGAATTCCGTACAAAGCGGCGGGGAGCAGACCTTTGACGACATCCTCAGGCTTCAGTCGTCTATTCCGGTGTCGACTCGGGACACCCCCCACGATGCCGGAACACTGTTCTCCCATCCCGAACTCTCCAAAAAGATCAAGAACGCCTGCGAGGTCGCGCGCAAACGCGGCTACAGGCTGATCTGGATCGACTCGTGCTGCATCGACAAGCGCAGCAGCGCAGAGCTCTCTGAGGCTATCAACTCGATGTATGCGCTGTACCGTGACGCGGACGTGTGCTATGCGTATCTCGCTGACGTTCCCGACGGCACAGACCCCCGAGCCCGTCGGTCCTCCTTCCGGCAGAGCAGATGGCACAGGCGCGGCTGGACGCTGCAGGAACTCATAGCGCCCGCACGCGTCGTATTTCTGTCTGATGAGTGGACGTTCTTGGGAACAAAACGGGGCCTGGCATCGACGCTGGAGGAGATCACGGGCGTGAATAGCGCGATCCTGATGGGCGTGGCACCTCTCAGCTCAGCGAGCGTTGCGAAGAGGATGTCCTGGGCTGCAGATCGGGAGACGACGCGAGTCGAGGACCGGGCATATTCGCTTCTGGGGGTCTTCGGGGTGCACTTGTCTCCGATCTATGGGGAAGGTACGAACGCGTTCCTCCGTCTGCAGGAGGAGATCATCAAGCACGTCCCGGACCAGAGCATTTTTGCGTGGGGATGGAGCCAAACCCTTCTATCGCTGGAGAGTGTGTCCAGTGACGGTCCTGGTGTTTGGAACAGGGTCGGGCCAGGAATGCTTGCGGAATCCCCAGACGTGTTTTGCGATTTTGGAGACATCACTCCCGTCGCTCCCTCCAACTTTATGGCGCGCATTGGCAAAGATTTTGCGTTCGCACTTCCTCCGCTGCACTGTGTGGTCACCCCGCAAGGCGTTCGTGTGTCCCTTGTGCAGATACCTCTCGCGTCGCTCCCCCGCACCACGGAAGCCATGCTTGCAGCTGAACGCCGCGACTGCCCGGATTGCCAGAAAACGATTCGCGCTCGACCTCCGCTTCGAAGTCTCGCCCTCCTCCGTTGCGAAGACAGAATGGGTCGCCTGATCGCGCTCCCCCTCCGCTGCCCCGAAGAAGACGTGGCGCGCGGGGAAAACATCACAATCGGCATCCGTGCATCCTGCGGCAGGCTCTGGCACCCTTCGGCGCGCTTCGTACGCCTGTCTGCGGACGTTTTCGAGCATCTCGATGTCGCGCTGACGTGCGGCGAGGTGTCCCTCCTGCATCACCACACAGAGGCGCACGGCCCGAGGCTTGCGGAGTTCTCCTGGGCCAACGAAGAACAGCGGCTTGATTTCAGGCGGGATCGGTTCCGCTTCGCGCCGGACTGCGAGGATGAGCTGCGTGCCGTCGGCTTCGCGCTGGCCCCGCTGGACTGCCAGTGGTCCGTTTCAACCGAATCACAGCGGCCGGAAATCACTCTGATGACCACTCTTGTCGCCGAAGACTCATTACGGGAGCCCCCACATGATGAGCAGTCGACGGACCGCCCTCCCATTCTCAGCGTCCTACTTCTGCTATCCCAGGGCGCTCCTCAGCCCACTGCCTGCTTCTCGGTCGAATATCCCAGAAATCATCCCGCAGCCGAGTCAGTGTACCCCACATCCCCACCCCCAGACAGCTTGTTATCCGAAGATCGCCAGGATGGCAATGCACCACATTTATCCCCTGCAGCCAACGGCGGATGCAAGAAGAGCAGTCTCTCCCAACTACGCCACCATGATCCCTCGCGCGTGCTCGCCGAGGCCAGATTCGTAGTTCCCGGACTTTCCGTCGACCGTGCCGGTCGCGATGCAAGGAGTGCAGAGCATGTTCGGCTCCTATGGCTCAAATTGGAACATCCGTTTGAGAGCGCATATGACGCAGACTGCGACGATCTCTTGTTCTCGATCGAGCTCTCCGAACCTTTCGAATCCAACAGCGAAATTATACCCACAGAAGCTGCCGCGACGACCGGCTCGGCTTCAGCAGAGTGCTCTCTTGACCAGTCGCTGGCACAAGCAGCAGCAACGGCCGCAGAGGCTATCGAGGCTGCCGATTCCGTGCAAGACGGCAGGAGTGTCCCTTCTCCTGCAACATACCAAGCAGGTGAGTATTCGACGTCCCTGTGCACCCGTCGCTGAATACCTATGCATACCCTGCGCGTGCGCTTAAAAGGACTTTATGCATCACGCCCCTACGTCCAAAGGTCGGGGGCTTGACAGCTTCACCGAAGATCTAGAGTTGGCGGATGCCTGCCGCCGTCGAAAAAGACAACAAGCAAGCGTCGAGGAGGACGATGCATCAGCGATCGATGCAATCGAAAGACACATTCACGTTGCACGATGATTGATTGGTTGATCATGAGAGGCTGAGCATGTACCTGTGGTGGAAACAACGGATCCTAGCGATGTTACAAGGGTATGGTACCTATTGCGATGGCGAGAGCGATACATACGTGGTCATAGAAGAAGGTAAAGAAAGCAAAAGAAAAAGAACATCGAAAATCATCGAGATAAGTCACCCCCACACGGGACGGGGCACCACAGCACAAACAACGCTTCGTGCAGCCTTCCTTCGTCCGGTCGCCATCGTCGTCGTCGTCTCACTTTGGTGGTGGCGTCGGGGGCCCTGCACATCCCCGTCAGATCCGCTGCACGTCGGACGAGAGACGGCGGCTTACCGAAGAGACCGGAGCGCGGCATGGTACCGTGATCGGAAGGAAGCGGGGCGGATGGGGAGCCAACGACCGGTACGGGGGAGAGAAGGGGGTTCGCTACAACAACAGGATTCGCAGTCAGACACAACACCGTGCGCGCACGCTCGCCGATGTGGGACATACGCTTCCACTGAGCCCACGCAGGGACATTCATCGGTTCCGGCGCGGCAATGGCAGCAGGGGGCGGAGGAGGGGCTTGGATGGCCTTCGCCTTGGACTTCTGCCGCCGTTCTTCCCGCTTGTGCACCGTGCGCCACGCGGGGCGTGCGGGCATGCCGTCGTCCATGACCTCTGGAGGGGGCGGCGGGGCCGGAGAGGCGGGCGGGGGGGCGTCCTCGTGCTGCGCCACCACGCTCGTTACAGACATCCGAGGCCACATAGCGAGAGTCAAATCCTGCCCACCTTCGGGGCCCACTCGGGCGTGAACTCGCCGCCCGCCCCGTGCTTCGACTTCACGGCCATGAGCTCTGCGATCTCACTGCAGCACGGCGAACGGGCCATCAGCGTGTCGCGTTCTTTGTGCGCATGGGAAGCATGAACGCACTACTGCAGCTGCCGCCGCTCGTCCCTGAGCTTCCCGACCTCGGCGAGGAGGATGCGGACCTCGCTCGCGAGGGCCTTGCTAAAGTCGTTCAAATACCTGCGCAAGCCAGACCGCGCTCGGTGATCTTCCGTCCCGTCCACGAGCGGTGCAGGGTGCGTACTTTGGGGGTGCCCCGTAGTTTCCCTTCTGCGACATGTCCTCGATCGTGAGATGCCGGAGTGGGCAGTGGCCTTGTAGCTGCGCAGGTGCGATGATCAGAGGAGAGAGTGCAGCACGGGGTCGGGTGGCCTGCGCGCGGAATAAGCAGGATGATAGGGCTGGTGGAGGAGGAAGGGCAGGATGCGCTGCCGCATGTGGGTGTTTCGTCCAGCGTCTATAGATGTTCACCACGGACGAACACGACCGCGGCCACGAGGCGGGCTTCAGCGCCCATAACCTTCTAGCTCTTTCACATGGGCTGGGGCAACGTTGACCAGGCTCCTTTCGCGCATGTAAAGCAGAGAGCGTCAAAGCGATGCATAAATATCATGAGGATATTCGAGAGAGACGGGCTAAAAGTACAGACATATGCGTGGTCGACTAGCTGCATACAGAGTACGATATATAGTGGCAGGAAGACGCGTGCGGGAAGCAAGCGTAGTGTGCGGGGAATTCATGGGCGTAACACGTTCGGTGAGTGCATACGGCACAGGAAGGGGGATATTGAGGGTCGGGAAGAGAAAGAGGGAAGAGGGCTACGCCAGACGGCGGTGATGCAATGCAGACATTGTCCATGTCGTCTACGTTCAGATACCAAGGAAGGTCGAGATGTACGCCGTGAAGCGCGCGAACGGCGCCTTCTTCGTCTTCTTTTTCTTCGGCTGTGGAAATTAAAGACAGTGGAAATAATTTAGTGCGTGCGCAGGCCGGAGGCATCCTTCACGCGGCGACGCACCGTTGGCGCAGTGTCGACGTTCGCAGCCCGCTTGGCACTCGGGGCGGAGTCTGCAGATTCGACAGTTGGAGAAGAC